ACATGACAAAATTAAAGCTAAAAACCATCCATATATAAATGTAAATGTATGCTTCTTAGCCATGCTGAAAATGGGGGATGTTCAAGAAAAATGGAGGACGTGACAACATAAATGCTAAAAGCAATCAGAAATATAAATTCAGTTCATTGAGTTTATGTACATCTATATTACTATTACATATCATTGTTTTCCACGTTTTCAAGATTTGTCCAGAAGGGATTTTTGTCATTGCCATCATTTGAGGCTGAGACTATCTGAAACCCAGTGGGTTTTATGGCCGAGCTGGGAATCGAACCCAGGTCTCTGGAGTCATAGTCTAACACTCAAGCCATTAAACCATGCTGGTTCTCACTTTATTATGTACTCAGCTATATTTTTATGATGAACGTTAAAATGGCTTGTTGGCTTGCAATATACTTACAGAACTGAGAAAGACACAGACTTAAAATTGTACTTTACTAACCACAAATCCTCGAGTCTACATTTAAATTGTTCTTTTCATTTGCCCATTGTGCTGGAATTAAGGGGGGAAAAACCCATTCAACATTTGCATTGTGTCCTCAAGCACTGCTTAACATGGTTGCTGTCCTTCTTCCCTCTCAGAAACAAACACACCCTTGAGTTCTGGGTGCGAGGTTTGTCTGCTGCTGCTGCTGCTCCAAGGAAAACAAGAACTGTCCAGAGGGATTTGAGCTGGGCTGAGAAGCATGGATTTAATATTTATATGGGTGGCTTTTTTGTTTTTGTTTTGAGCTTTTATTTGGTCAGGTCCTCAATTTTTTTCCTTACATGTTTTCCCCAAGAAGTCCTGCCTATGGAAGTCCTGTCCTTGGCACCCAGTGACACCCAGTGCAGAAACATCACTGAGCTTAGGCACTCAATCTCTAAAAGGTTTGCCATCATTGTTCTAGATCCTTGGTTATATGTGCCTAGGATTTACCCTTGACTTATCATATCAAAATCTGTAATTTTGGCTCCAAAGCCTGAAGTCGACTTATAGTATGTACAGTAATTTCTTACTCACTGGCATACTCAGAGAATGGCAGGTGCAGCTGACAATTATTATTCTCTGGAAAAAAGCTGGGGAACACAGATATAAACCACTCCATGGGCAGGAGTGCAAAGGTCTTAATAGTGCTAGTGGTATTTATTAGATCCTGGCTTTTATTATTCATTAGGAAACCCTTCATAGGGGGTGAATTTTACTCCTGGTCATGGTAGTCATTCACACCTGCTCAGCTGCTATTCTCTTTCTGAGCTGCTTAAAAGGTGAAAGATACTTTTTTAAGAAACAATTTTTATTGAACAAATAAAGAATACACCATACATTCATCATTCTACTATATATATATATATATATATATATATATATATATATATAT